GTATCAGCACCTATGATAAAGAAAACCAAATATAAGAGCACAATCTTAGTGGCATATTCACCAAAACCCAACTCCTACTCACTCTCTCTTAGGAATGCCCAGGTCCTCGGGCACCACGCTTCGGCCATGCTCCGAGGCAGACCCCGTCGTCGCAGGGTTCGCCTAGGATAAACGGAGAGGAGCGATGTAGCGTCGCTAAAAGTTGAGCGCGCCCACGCCGCTCCTTGCGTCGTCCCCGACTCGCCGCGACTCCTCGGCTGCACCTCAAGGGTACCCGGACCGCACCGACACGTGGACGAGGTCGAGGCTCCGTCACGGACTCCGGTATTATTTGCTGGGGCTCACCAGAGAGGCAAACCGGGTCTCTTGGCAGGTCAGTGAGGGGGCCTCAGCACAGCATCAGGAGGCAGCCTAAAACACACAAACAAGCAGGGAGTTGCACCAGAAACTGAGACCCCAGCAAGAACATCTGCTTCTCTTCACCAACTGAGGCTCACCTTCCACCTGCTTTGCCTTCCCTGCTGCTTTCTGGCTTTACTTCCTAGAAATAAATACAAAGAGTAGAGCTGTAACACAGTGACCGGTTCCAGCCCCGCTGCAAAGTAAAACCGTGACTGACCTTCTCAGGGGGATCCCCTCATCTGGGATGCAGCGCTCTGCCACGAGGTCAATCCGTCTGCATCTGAAAGAAAGTTAGGAAAAGAGTCAAAGTGCTGCAGGGTAACTTCACAGCTCCAAACACCTTGTGCCAACATAAGAATACCACCTAGACTCCAACTACAGCCCGTACTACAAGTCTCCGATTACAAGTGCCCGGGACTTGTCCTTAAACACCTACAACCGGGCTGGGCGCCAGGGCAGAGCAGCTCCGGACCAAATACCCCCAGACACCCGTGACATGTGAAATGAGGAGACGTGACAGGGAGAGAAAACTCTCTGAGGCAAGAAAGTCCTCACGAGGACCGAGAGAATGCTGAACATGATGACCGAGGAGGGACCGAAGGCGAGCCTGTCGGGCTCAGAGGACCCTGGAGGAAAAAGATGCTGAAGGAACAACTTCTTCCAAGAACCGCAGAGACGGATGCCTGAGAATCCTGTGGCTGGAAGCCTCTGCCTGCCTTTGAATTGGCACAAGTCCTTATCCACTGTAAAGAAACACTGCTGCATATAGCTGTCAACACAGCTGAGAATGAGACCTAAAAAAATATCCGATCACATGCTTCTAAAGACAGATGCGATTCTGACGGGTGTCCGAGCTCCGGAATCGAAGTTTCGCCGGCATCGGGCCGATGAACTCAAAGATGGGAGATGAGTGGAAGGACCTAGGGTTTCTCATAAGCTCCTGGGAGGGCTAAGGCAAGAGGCACGTTACACGAGATGCACAGAATATACAGAAAGCACGAGAGACAAGTGACAGCCCACTCTGGGACTGCTCTGCCCTGCCCACCTCAGCATTATTAGCTAAAGTGAGCCTTTCCCTCACTGGGGCCCCAGAGGTCATTTCTCAAACCTTCCCCTCCCCATAAGCTGACTCAAAACCCCTAAACGGTGTGAATCCTAACCCACTGCCCTGCTTTGATCCCCTCTGTGACCATGGCCCTCGACTTATCTCTCCGAACTGAATCTGTGCGAGAGGCCGATCCGCTGCTAAGGAAAGCTGCTGCGGGGGCAGTTCCCTTTTGTGTTACAATGAGTCTGCTGAGAGAATCTGAAATATCGCACTTGACGTGGCTTAGAACTTCTGGAAATTGCAGTCCTCCTAAAAAAAAAAAAAGCCAAGAAGAAGAGTCATGATAAAAGCATCTTATTGCCCCTGAACCCCCGACCCAAAATCATGAGCTTAAATACTCCCTGTGTTCAATATTGTTTTCTTCAAGGTGTTTTCAAAACTTCAGCTGCTGCAAATGCCCAAAAGATGCCTGCTCTTAGCAGGCTAAAGTAAATTAAAAGAGGTGCTTCACTGAAATGAGAGAGGAGCTCTTTACCCCTGCTGATTCCCCTGGAGGGAATAATGCCCCTTAGCACAGCCTGGGGTTAATATACCACTAATTGGGCCCGCCTCTTTTCCCCACAATGCCTGGGAAAGGGGAGGCGGCAGATCCCACCGGGTATAAAAGCCCTCAGAGGTACTGTAGCCGTTTGGCTCCTCTGAGTTAAATTTGAGGCAAGAAGCTCTGTGTAGAAGAAGACTCTTTGGGAAAAAACAGTGTTTTCTTTTTTGCTACAGTTACTCCAAACAATGGAGCAAAAGAAAAAAAAAAAGGTAAGAAGAAAAACTTTGTGTTTCAGCAGTGTTGCAAAACTTTGTGTTTCAGCAGTGTTGCCAGCTAAGTTGGATAATTTATAGACTTGCATAATTATTTTTCAGTGATTACTACATAGCATTCCACCTGTGATTAACTAGAGTGGAGAAGAATAGTATTGATTTGGATGGTGTCTCATAGGGACCTTTAATCAGGGCTCTCTACATTCTGAATAAAAATAAGAAAAAGAATGGACTCACAGGTGGCATTACCATTACATACCTGCTGGCCTCGCTCCCATCGCAGATATTTGGTGCCGGGGTGTGGGTAGAAGTGCCCTGAAATGCAGCTTTAAACCCTTGAAATGCTGGAAAAGGCAAAGCTTAAAATGAGCAAATGGGACCACTAACTCCATTTAAACAGATACAGTGGTAAATAAATGGCTTCTCCTCTTTAATTTAAACCCCTCAAATATTGGGGAAAAGAGTGGTTTTCCTTGCTGTGAATCTCTCTGGTGGTGGAAAAGGGGGCATTTTTCCCTTAATTCAGATCCATAAAAAAGCATCATCCATGCTTTCCCTTTCCACTTAAAGTGGAAAAAAATAGAAAATGGGCAGTCTCTATCAATTAATACTTCTAATAGCACAGAAAAAGCAGAGTTGCCTCCAATTGAGACTACTAAAATTGCAGGGAAAGTGGATTTCTCTTCAATTTGAACACAGGCAATTGTGGAAAAGGAAGCTTTTTCCCTCAGCTTAAACTCCTTTTTTCCTGATAACCCATCCATTGTGGAAAAGGAAGCTTTTTCCCTCAGCTTAAACTCCTTTTTTCCTGATAACCCATCCCTTTTTTGGAGCTCTGAAAAAGGAGTGCTGAGGTGGAAGAACAAAGAAGAAAACTGGTGCCTTTTCCCCCCCCCGCCCCACCCGACTCCCCGGGGAGCGTGCATGCTGCCCCACCCACTCAGGGGCCACCGCTCAGCAGGACAGGCTTTTCCCTCAGCTTTCTCTTAAAGTGACACTTCCCACCGGGGTAGAACCGGCTGCTCCCCACGTCGCTGCTGGGTGCTGTAACCCTCGTTCCCGGAGAAACTCCCAGGATGCCCCCGCTGGCCCCTCTGGCGGCTCCCTGCACAGGTCTACCCAGGTTACCTTCTGAAAACTGCCTCTGCCGTGAGCTGCTCCCTTCTCGTCCTCACCAGTCACGCCTGGGGCTGCTGCACCTTGGGGTGGGGGTGGGGCGGAGAAAGGTACTGCCGGTCATTCCCTTCTCTACGTGTCCCGCTGTCCGTTCCCGAAACGCCGGGGTGCTGGGCTTCCATTTCCGCGATAGAGAACCGGCCTCCTCCTCCAGGTGCCGAGGCTTAAATTGATATTCTGCCACATAAATCCCCTGCGTGCTGGCTTTGTGATTACTGAGGAAATTGCTCACAGGGTACTAGGCGATTACCGGTTACTGACTTCTGCTTCCCTTGAGCGGTGGGGGATTTGGCTGGCTTGTTTAAGGGTAATCCTGACCAAACCCGAGCACCCCTGTCGCTGCTCTGCCCTGAATTTCAGTGAAATATCAATATAGTTTATAAATGCTCCCTTTAGTCACCGCTCAGTCTTTCCCCTCGCAGCCACGGGGACCAGGCTTGCTCCGTTCCTTTGATCCCCGCCCTGGGGGTCCCGCTTGGATGCTGGTGTCAGAGACACGAGCTGCGGAATGCTAAAAATACTGCCTTTCAAAGTGAAAATTCTATTAAGCCCACCTAAAATGATCAAAATAACTACATGTATTAATGATCGCTGGGTAAAGCTTTTCAGGGAAGAAAATAGCCGTTTTGGTAGTGCAAATCCCGTTTTGACGATATTTCATTCTTTTGGGTTTGGGAATCCTGCCAGTATAACACATCTGAGAATTAGTATTTTGCAATTGGATATTTTGAAATGGGGTGATTTTCATATTTTGGAACTTGATAGTTTACTATTTTGAAACGGAATCATTTTGGTATTTTGGAACCCGCTATTCTGGTATTTTGCTATTGGGTTATTTGAAAAATTTGCAACTCGGTGATGGGAAACTGGGTTACGCTGGTATGTTTGGACTAGTTCTGGAATCTTAGAAGTGGGTTACATTGGTATTTCTGCATTTGCTATTTTGGGAATTGGAAACCGGGGGGTTTTTTGGGTACTTTGGAAATGGTTATTCCAGTATTTTAAAACTGAGCTTTTGGAATCTAGTTCTTTGCTGCTTTGAAATTTGGGGTACTATTTACTTGAAATCGGGTTATTCTGGCATTTTGGAATGCAGTTTTTCTAGGCTTTGTTTTGGTGTTTTGCGACATGACCTTTTTTAGTGTTACCACTTGCATTTTTGATAGTCTCAATTGGAAGCAAGTCTGCCTTTTCAGTGCTGTTTGGCGTATTAATGTCCTGTAGAGAGACAAAATACTGAGCAATTGGTTAATCTTACCATGTTGCAGGCGGATAAATTTAGTCTGACACTGCCTGAGGTGGCTGGGCGTAGGTGAGACACAGTCTGCTGTGGGGGCGAAGGGCCGGTGGGCATCTTTGAACCCTGACCATTCACATGTGACCCATGAACTTTGAATGTCAGACTTGTCACTTCAATTATTGACTGCTCATTTCAGAGTTTTGACCTTGACCGCAGCCCTTCGACCTTGCCCCAACAGCAATATCACTGAATTACAGTGATTTCAGCATATAAATGCTACCATAGTTATCTCACCCAGCAGTGTCAATCCAATTATCAGTCTCTTTCCCAGCGCTACAGTGATTATAGCAAAAACCCTAGAGACCCCTTCCGTGGCCAAGTCATTTCAACTCTTGCCCAAAAGCTTTATTTCAAAGCTACCTCTGGTCCTCCAGTTCGAGATGAGTTTCTCCAACTCAGCTGGTTGAAACTTCCACGGGTTCAAGGAGCAGGATCATCCTCTTGTGTCCAGTTCTCCCACTACAGTCTCTGAGCCCACACCACAGTCAATATGCCACCCCACAGTGACTACAGATCCAACCCTAGAATGTTCTTCCCTGACCCAGTGATTTCAGTTCTTGGCCCACAAGCTTTATTTCACTCCAAGCTCTCTTCTTCCAGCTGCACATACATGCAAGCGATCTTCTTCTAGCACCAGATGGTGTTTCTCCAACGCTGCTAGCTGAAACTTCCCCAGGGTAAAGGAGCAGGATGTTCCTCCAGTCTGCAACTCTGCAACATTTCAGCTCCCACCCTACAGCTTATAAGCCATCCCCACAGTCAATATCCCAGACCCACAGTGATTTCAGC